ATTCGCGATTCGAATTCGAAATTGATGATTCGAATTCGAAATATTCGAATACGAATTCGAATACGAATCAATTTTATTATTCGAATAAAATTCGAATATGAATATACATATATTCGATTCGTAAGTTATTCGAATATATTCGATTTGTATACTTACGAATTATAAATATATATTCTATTATATTTATAATTTTGAAATAATTCATATAATAGACATTTGTGAAAATCGAAAAATGTCTAAAATGAGTCATAATTTGAATAGGTGAATTTTTTTTAAACTTCAAATATTTGAGTTGGAATTCGAATATTCGAATTCGAATATTCGAATACGAATATACTCAAATACAATAAACGAATCGAATACGAATCGATTGTAAGATTCGAATAATATTCGAATACGAATACGAATATTCGTCAATTTATACGAATACGAATAATATTACTCATTATTCGATTCGATTCGTTTACAACCCTACTCCTAGGTGATGAAAGACTCACCATTAGGGATAGACTCGGGTCCGGGCCGGGTCCAGGCCGGCGGGTAACCACCGGGTCCGGTCCGGGTCCGGGCCCGTTATTTTTTTTTTCCTCTTCCTAATTAACCCCCTCCCATCCCCAACCCCCCAAACCACCCCAAATGGCCCAAAATACCCAGCCCAACCCGAAAATTTAAAAAAAATTGAAAAAAAAGAAAAAAAAATAGTTTTTGGCCAGAACCGGGCCCGGGCGGGTCGGGCCTTGTTTTGGGTGACCCGAGCCCGGACCGGAAAACCCACGGGCCGGGCCTACCCGGACCGGTCACTGACCGGGCCACCGGGTCGGGCCGGGCCGGAACAGTACCGGTCCCGGGCCGGTTCCGGGTCAGGCCACCCGGCCCGAGTCCATCCCTACTCACCATATTACTCCATCTGGTAGGAAAAAAAAAACCGGAATATCACTTTGCAGGGAAAGGATCATTTTATACCTTAAAGTAAACTTCTTAATATAATTAAGACAACCTTAAATAACGACAGTTGAATCAAGTAGAAATCTATAAACAAAGTGGGTAAGAAAACAATCCATATTGTTTCGTTTACATGGAGCATTCTTAAGAAGTTCACAGAACGCTAGGGCAGCTCCACACCTCCACGGATGGCTCAATTGTGACGAAAATATAAACCAAAATGAACACAACCCGCACCATAAAGTACAAATGCATCCAATTCCAATTATACATATCATATGCTTAACTAAAGTATACAAAAACTCCTGTCTAAAAAATAATGCATCAATTGAACTACAATTTTGTAATACCATGTTCAAACCATACAGCAACCGTACACAATTCCAGCATCTCTTCTTTCCCATCTAATCTACAGAGAAACATTCACAAATTTAGTCGCCCCTCGGACTGCTTCTGCTTGCTCCTTTCTTTCCACTGTACTTCTGTTACATCATCATCAAAACAAACCATTGTAAGTTCTTTAGAAAGGATAAATTTGGCTAAAGTGGATGAAATTAACACTGCACCTAATTAGGTTGATGAACTTGCTAAGTTACCTAATGGAGCCAAAGATTCACTGTTTTATGGCTTGGAAATGTGATGGAATAAAGCAAAATGGCTCACTAAACTGGCTGCGCTTCTTTGTTATGGAGCAGCAGTCAATTCATGCAATTTTGGACGCGATTTTCACCGTGGGTCATCCGGAAACAGTCTCTCTGTGCTAAACAGGGGGTAAGACTGCGTGCATCTGACCCCCCTACCCCACCGTAGGTGGGAGCCTTTGTGGCACTGGGGTGATGATGATGATGAAGATATTAAAATGTGGCTAGGGCTTGGATGTTGTTGTAAAGATATTCATATGTGGCTGGGACTGTCATGTTATTCATTTTAGCAACTTCAGCTCTGTATCATTTTTAGCTTCAATTTCATATGTTGATTCATGTTCGCCCGCACCAAACTCTTTTGGAACTAAGGCTTGGATGTTGTTGTGGTTGTTGTTATTTGTACCAACTTCATCCAAGTAATATCCTCTACAGTGATTGTCAATTTATTCATTTTAGCAACTTCATCTGAAGTAATATAGTATGGAATGATAACCTAACCATTTTATTTTTTATTTTTTCATTACTAACTAATTCAGCAACCCAGAAGACCAAGTTCTGATTGGTAAATAGGGCTACTTGGTTTGGCTGATTACATATCACTTTATGACACATACACTATGGTTTGACTGTTTCAAGTTGAACCTAGGTTCTCCAAACACTATGGTTCACTTCGTTTGTTTACTACGTAGTATTTTAAAACAAGAACCTTGGTTTTCACATGAACTGGATCTTTAGAAAACAAGATTTACCTTGGAGAGTTAGAGAGAACATCCTTTTTTTAGAGAACCTCATAATAAGAGATTTTTGAAGGTTAAGTTTTCTTTATAATAAATTCTAATAATTGTAATATGTCAACCTAGGTTAATCTCCATTCAAACAAACTTTTACTGCATTCTAGGTGAATTAACATAATTGTTAACCAATCAACATTTTTATACACACACTTAGGTTCAGTCAGTCATTACAAAACATAGTTCACTTAAGTTTAGCAGGTTTACGTAAGTTCAATCTATCCAAACATGTAAATATCACATAATCTAAAACTAAACACAGTCACATCTAGTACGTGTATTAGCTTAACAATTCCATCTCTACCTAAATGATACCGAGTAAAAAACCAACCTGCTTTCCGATGTTAAATGGGATGTATCTATACTTGAGCATGTGTGAAATTTGGCGCTTCATAGTGAGGGTAAAGAGAACAGCCCAGTAGATCAACAATATTGGCCAAAACACAGGAACATCAAACATGGAGAAGAAAGTCATGACAAATGCCACACAGAAAGCCTTTGTGATAGCATACCTAAATCAACAAAGTTAACATAAGCCACCTCAATAGGCTTATTGTGACAAAAAATATCCATAAACATCACATAACGAAAAAAACTAGCTAACACTCAGGGAGACAAATACCAGAACTTGAATTCCGGGAGTCGGCGAATGAATGGTTTGAATTCATCTGAACCTTTAGTAGGGAGCATAGGACCATCTGAAGGGTCAAGCTCAGGGTCAACAAGAGGCGACAGAAAACCAATCAGCAAATTGAGAAGGTAGATTCCCAAACCGTAGCTCACAATGTAGAACCCTTGGACATAATAGACCCTCAAAACGTAGAGAGATGCTAATACAGAGGTTCCAATCCATCTATAGGTAGCATGAGGTGTACTCTTATCTAAATAAAACTGGTAAATCTTCGAAAAATCATGCCTCCGCTGGTTCAGTTCACCTCCAACGCCCTCCATCAAACTCTAAGCCCTACACAGATCCAACATAATGAAGTAGATCTATGACTGAAACTAAACAGGTATATCAAAAATCCGAACTCGCTTCTATTCGGAAAGACATTAGGGATTCATATATTAGGAATATTGACAATTGATGACCATGAAAAGCAACAAATACAGAACGGATTGTTCACGTACCTTGGTTGGTTAGAGCAGCTGAAATACTGTGATACTGAGACAAATGGATGGAGAGAAAAGAGATCGGAGAAGACAAACGGAGTCTATATATCCTGTGCTCCAAAGTTGGTATATTCGGAAGGGGATTGGACTTGGGATCCGACATAAAATAAAATTAAATAAACGTCATCATGATATTCTGACAAAATAGTTATTATCATAATAATATTATTATTTCTCGTATTCTGTTTGTATTATACTCCGTATTATAAATTCTCAATTATTGGATTTAGAGTTGGACTTGGGGTACACACTACACACTTTTTACACATGTCTGTGTAAGGTTTTTTTTATGTCTGTACAGACATAACGTATTTTAAAAATACGTTATGTCTGTACAGATATAAAAAAAACCTTACACAGACATGTGTAAAAAGTGTGTACACCATAAAGTGTGTACCTTTAGAATTTTTCTTGGATTTATTGCTACTGTAGCATCCCTCCCACCCATATTTACTGTTCACGTGGGTCAAAAGTTTTTTGCGAAATCGCATCAATGGTAACGATACAAGTTTATCTAAATACTATAATGACTTAACGAATATAATAATGAGTGGAACATTACAAATGTTTTATTTTAAAAGATATAAAAGTTTATACTAAAAAATGGGAAAAGAAAATGAAGTTTACATTAGACAGAAGAATATTACCTCCTTTTATTAATAATAATATTTTTGAAGTAGAGATGAAGAAAAGTAGATGAATAATTCAATGATATGGAGGCAGATAGATAATTATAAATTACATTAATAAAAACTTAAGTGGGTAAAATATCAATGGATACCCCGGATAAAGTTTAACAACAATAAAAATTACGAGCCCGTTTGGTGAGCTTGTTTTTTGGATTATCAGACTTATGAGTCAATTTTTTCACAAAATATGTGACTTTTGATTTTGCGCACTGAGTTATATAATAATAAGAAAAATTAAGGTTTGAGTTATTGTAAAGGATCATTTTAGCTATTTTTAATATATATTTTTCTTTATTTTATTAATAAAATATATTTTATTTTTAATTTTTTCAAAAATCAGCAAGATCAGCCAATGCAGCCACTTCAGCCAGAAGTTCATAAATATCGACAGAAACAACGATTCAACCGATTTCAGTGTTACCAAACTGGCTCTACATTTCTCCATACCCAATTATTTTTTGGAAGATTTGCTCCATACCCAATTAAACAATAAAAGAAATTATCACTAGTATTAATACTCCCTCCGTCCCTTAAAGGTTTGCCATGTTTGATCGGTACGTAGAATAATAAAGTAAAAACTGTGTGGTAGAAATTTGTGCAGAGGAGAGAGAAATAACAAGAGCCACAAATTGATTGATTAAAAAAGAAAGTGACAAAGTTTTTGGGACAACCAAAAAAAGAAAGTTGTCAAAGTTATAAAGCAGGAAAGGAGTATTACTTTTATGAATAAATAAATAAATCTAAAAAAGCGAGTGTGAGTGGGATGGGATGTGAAGCATCCTCCGCCACATGATTATATATCTTCAGGAAATACTACTCGCCTCCTCCATTTTTAGGTGTCTGCTGCGTACGGTCATTTCAGGCCCTTTTCCTCCCTTCTTCTCTCTGTCCACCATCGTGGCAGCCGTCGTCCGATCTGTGTGTACGATTGCTACTGGCGTCTCCCTCTGCTTTCGAACCAACTCTTGATTCAGTCCGAGGTACTTTCTGGGTTTTACTTCAAATCAACAACACCTGATCCCATCTGCTTCCATGAATTTATTGCTTTTTGTTTCTTACTCCTTTCTGTAATGCGAGTTTTTCTGCTTCTCTGCACTTGAAAGTGATATTTTTCTGGAATCATTGACCGGTTGTTTGTAATATGTCTGTTCTGCGCTGGGATTTGATCTCCCTATGGGTAGTGGGTTCACTGATTCGGATGTGATAATAGTTTAGAGTGAACTGCGTACACAGGGATCCGGAATGAAATAAGATCATGGGTTCTTGCATTTGTTTCATAATTGCAGATATTGGCTTTTTTAATTCCTGATTGAAGATACTGTTTTATGCAGTTTTATTATTCCTTATTGCTGGTATAATTTGTCAGGACAAAAAGAATACACATGACATGAATCTGTGAAGGTAAAACAATATTGGAAGCCTGTAAAACCTGAAACTCCATCTCATCATGTCGGAGAGCATTGCACAATCATATCAAGAGTGTGATGAGAGAACTGGGCAATCTATGTATCCAATTCAATCTGTGTGGGTAACACGATGGGTTGGAACAAGTCAAAATGCAACTCCACAAGCCAGCAATATTCCCAATTATCCTTTCGAGAACAAGAAGAAAAGGGATGAAGTTGAACTGGGGAGTGCTGGGGATGTAAGTAAATTTGGAACTCAAACACATGAAGTGGTTAATGAGAGTTTGAGAAGTGTTTCTGGAAACATAAGAGTGGAAACCTCTACTCATACCTCCACCACTATGTCGATTCCCTGCAGAAATGGGTTATCCTTACGGGGTTGTCAAGAAACTCAAGGATGTCTCACTGCTAAGCCTCTTTATGATCTAAACCCTACTTCTGCAAGTGGCGTTTCATCAGCTAAGAACTCTTGTGGTCCAGCTGCAAATCCTACCCGACAGGTGAAACCTCATTCGTTCTTCAGACACAGCCATACTGTTGCATCAGGACCTTCTGCGGGCAATTGCATGGAATCAGCTTCACATATTGTGCCATACAGATTTGGTTATGGAAAGTTTAAAGATGATGCCAGCCTGAGTGAGATGCCATTGCTTATGGACAGTAGACCTTCTAAACCTAATATTCCAAGGAGTAATAGCATTAAAATTCTTGAAGATAAGCATAGTAACTATGACAGCCAGCTGGAAAATGAAAGTCAACCACTGAAAGTCAATGGGGACTGGTTCAAGAAGTTGCAGAATGGGTCTCGTTTGGCAGCGTTAAAAAACAACTGCACTCCTTTAGAAGAGTCTGAACCAAACAAGGCACTAAACAACAATTGCATTCCGGAAAAGTTGACTCACTCTTTGCATGACATGAAGACAATGAGAATATGCACTACAGTGGACTCTGTTGTGGGATTAACAGGATGTTATCCTAGATTCTCTCAGACAACACACAGTTTGTTAGTCATGAAGGAATCCGATGTGAATGCCTGCAAAGAGAATCAAACCATCAGCACTTCTAGAACAAGTAATGAGTTCAATAAAAAGATATTCAATGATTTTTTGTGTCAGAAACAGCAAGGTGTAAAGCTTCAACTTCTTGAAAGCTCCAATGCCAGTGAGCTTGAAGAAGAAGGTGTCCAACCTTTAGAAGTTGATGCAAAGAATGAATCATCCGCTGACACTGATGCCATGGACTTCGATGCCTTTCCCGGAAAGGCCAAGCTCTTAGGTACATACTTAAATAGATCTATTCACTTTTCGTTAAGAAGTCCTCATTTGCAGTTTTATACTCCTATGACTTAGATATCTATGATGTGTTGATATGCTAAATATTCTACTTAAGTAATCTAGAATATTTATTTTAGTATGTATTTGGTGTAATTAATTCTTTGCTTTTATTGCTGCAGGTATCAATTTTTCCTCATTATTAAAGAAGGTACAATATCCCTCCTTCCCAAATATCTTGCTGCTCTATTTTCCATATGCCAGTCACTTTTTGGTCTGTATGGGACTCGAAAATGCTTGAGAAAGAAAATACTATGAGAATAGAATTTGATAGAAAGAAATTTAGGAGAAAATAAAAGGTAACCTCAAACGTAGTTAGTCTATGTATGTGTTCAAACCTAACTTAACCAGGCCAGACATAATGTGTTCAAACTAAACCAAACCAAACATATCCCGAAAGTCTCACTCAAAAGTAGGGTTTGAGGAAAGTGAGATGTGCACGGACTTTAACTCTACCCCTAGGAGTAGAGATGGCAGTTCCTGTGATCACATCCGACTAAGGAAAAGTTCGGAAGATATTTACTATTTATGTTTCAATGATATAAACACTATAAAATCTACGTGCATATAGAATAATAATAAAACAAGTTGATCCCAAACCAAACAAAGAAAAACTTCCTTTAGGATTTTTTTTACCAAGTATTTTCCAGAACCCAAACGTAGCCTTAGGGTTTAAACAACAGTTTTTTAAGTAATTTTTTACAGAGTAAATTGTTCAATTGTAGGAGTGTGAAAAGTACCAAAACTTGTGTCAACTTACACTTATGGATCAAGTGGGATCTGATGGCGTTAAGAAGAGTAGGCTATTACCTAAGAATAATAAGAACTCCTCACACCCCCCTGACATTCATCAGTCTGAAGCAACCTCAGCAGACCATTTGGATTTAAGTTCAAACACACAAAGTTTGGATATGGAATCACTTGTTATCGGTTTCAATGACCAACACGGTAACTCTAAACCAGACGTGTTTCATCAATCCAATCTTCCAGGACAAGATTCAAGTAGCAGTTTCGTGAAGCGTTTGAAATTGAGCAATCTTTACGCTTTTGCTCTTGGGACAAGGAGTACAAACGCAAAAGAAGATTTACCTCATGAGAAGCAGCACAACAGGTTTCGTGGTCAAACATGCTCTGAACCGATGACTAGTAAAAACAAAGGTAAAGAATGGATAGTTCAAGATAAATGTACTAGGAAAGGTGGCGGTGACTCTTCTTCTACAGCAAACATGAGAGGAAAACTGACTTCATACCCGTGGATCCAGAGGTTGCTCCGTGATAAAGGAACCACCAACGGTGTTGTTCCGGATGTGGTGGTGGAGGGTTATGATGCAGGGAGTTCAGAATTGAAAGTTGAGGAAATTCAGAAGAGACATTTTCCCAGCATAGCTGCCATGGCGTTGATGGCGAAAGGCATGAAGGGGTTGCACCCTTGTCAGTTTCAGAAGAAGGGCTCTTTTGTAGTTTGGAACAATAGTGGTGGCTTATGAATAAAGAAAAGAACTTCCGGTTATGGTGCGCTATTAGTGATGGTTACTCAGCGGGCCCTCGTATATTCAAGAAAATCTTCACTTATTGTCCCATGATTACTAGGTCTATACTACTTTCTGGTTTCAGGCATTCAGTTTTCCACTTCTGTTTACTGAATATGGAATTTTTTGTCACGGTTGGTCCTGACGATTCATCCAATCAATTTTTCACACAGTTTTTGATTGATTGCTGCTATGTAAATTGCTAGAAGGGGTGGAACTTGACATGGAATTCATAGTCATATCATTCATCAAAAGTGGAAAAGCAATGAAAGTTGAGGACTTAAGGTGGGTTTTCCTAATAAAGGCGTGTATAGGAGTTTGCATGACCTAATAACAACTGGTCTTAGGAAGTATCTTTCTTTTTCGTTTTGGCTTCTTGTAATTGCTTGAAGGGTCCCTGAATATTCAAGCCACAGGGTGCAAAAGAATCATTATTCTGGTTATGCATTTGAGCAGCAAGTGGCTGTCTGTTCATTATTTGTACGAAGGAAATGTTTTTTACTGTGATGACTTTGAAAATGTATTATGTTGCAGTAAATATTTTTTTTCTATCGTGGGAGTGTGATAGAAGTCATAGAACTGATAGATATTGGATGTAGTTTTGGAAGAAGTAATTTTGTATTACAATTTACAAAAGTATGATTGCATTAGTGGTTGATGTTAATACAAAAGTATGATTGCATTACTGGTTGATGTTAATACGGGCTACCAAGCTACCCTAGTCCCTATGTGTTTTTGTTAATAAAAAACAATGACGCAATGAATAGCAACGTAATGTGGTGGTACACTTTAAATTAGTAATTCAGCCGTAAATCAGCATATTAATTTGCACAATTTTTATTTATTTTAAGTAAATACACTATTAAACTGTATTGTGATTAGAGTTTAACTTATTGCTCCTAACTAAACTGGTTGATCAGTTTTCAGAACTTTTTTTTTGGAAGAAGGTGACTTATATTAATAAGAAAGAACGTAAGCAGGATACAACCAGACAAAGAGTCAATTGTCTATCGTTTGTCCTTGAACCAACTTTAGAACCTGTCACCTCGAAAGAAGCAATCAGATTCGTTGATCCTGAATTGGACTTGCCTGAGCCAATAACTAGCAAACTAGGCTCCCTAATCCCCATCAACTGTCCTACGTTCTACAGTCTTAACATGAATAAAGACAAGCTAACAAAAACATACGATGTCCGAAGCAAAAATCAACATGAAGTAAAACAAGTCTAAAATTAAAAATAACTTCAATCTGCCATCAGCACCAGATCTTCAAAGGTTTTGGCGGGCTTGGGTGCTCCAGCCCGTCTCTTCCATGTTTTTTGTTCCATCAAGAGCCATGACATCCTCATCTGAGTGCTCCTGCTCCTGTGCATCCTAGGTACGTCCCCTCTTTGGTTCCCTTGGTCCATTGCTATTTGTTCTTGCTTCCTCGTTCTTTGATGCTTCCCATCCTCCCTGGATCTCACCCTTCGTGTACCTCTGGCCATGTTCCTGTTTTTCTTTAAGGCTCTTTTCCATCCCCGTAGAGCCTCTTCTTGCCCCTCCTTCGCTCACAAGCCATTTATTACTCATAGAAGGGCGAGATCTCCCTCCACCCGCTCGCAACCACGGAGCAAAAGATTTCACAATAGTTATATCCCCTTTTTCATACAGTAAGAGGTAGAACATTTCAGCATTGCCTATGACTCCACAAGCAAAAAAACTGGGGAGTTTCTTGTACTTGAAATCAATCCAGTACCCTTCCCCTTTGCTCTTTTTTAAAGTTGTTCCCACTTTCAAGGGTTTCTTCACATCCAAAATCACCATGACCCTCATATAGGTTTCCCACTTCTCATCGAATTGTTTATCATTCCAGGAATAAAATTTCCCCAAGTGATTCCCAATTTTACGAGCATATCCAAGGTTCGAATAGCCATAGGGAATGTTGTGTACCTGAACCCAAAAATCATCCGTATCTGGAGGGACCTTCAGAGGCATATCCCCCTGCTTAATGGCTTTTAACACCAACAGGTTTTGATCAAACAACCATGGCCCGTTTTCCAACACATGATTCATATCAACTACGTGATAAAATGTAAACAAATACCTCTTCTCACTGATCTCCTGAATCCGCACTCCATTGCGCGGACGCCACAGAGCCGCCATCAGATCACAAAAAATTTGAAATTTCATCACTTTATCCGTGATAATCGTACCAACCACGGGATAGGTGTTCACCTCTCTATCTGCAACACTAGAGTCGATCTCCGATTCCTCATCGTCATCCAGCAATAGTTCATCCGTCGTGTGACCCAAATCCATCCCGTCATACTGGTCAATCAACTTCTCCACGCTACCCACACCCATCGCCGTAGGGGACTCCACTTCCTCGCCTTGGTGAACGCCGTTAGTCTGCGAGTTGGATCCACCTATCTCCATGCCATTCGACTGCAAGATTGATTCTCCTGTCTCTACGCCGTCGCCCTTACTTTCGCTAGCCGCACCCTTGCCGCACTGCATCGGCAGAATTCTCTAAACCTTACGCAAAGGAAACTGAGAGACCATCATTGTGTAGAGTTTGCTTATTTAGTTCTCGGAACTTTGAATGCATTCATTATAATTAAAAAAAATACTCTATTCTTTCCAAATTAATAGTTACATATTTACAATCTCACTTTTACCCTTCCTTTTAATTTTAGTCACACCCTACGCTTAGCCATGTTTTACCGCTCTTGCTCAGGGGCGAAGCTAGGGAGGGACCAACCCTGACTCCGGCCCAACTCAAATTTAAAAAAGTCTATAGTAAAAATTCGGTGTAAAATGTTTTTCAAAAATATTCTTTGTATAGGCCCAATCCGGCCCAGTGCCCACACTTGGTGCACACACTTTTGTCATATAGTGACTATAAATCCAATCATAATAATACACTTGGTGCACACACTTTTGTACATGCAACTTTCACATTTTCCGCATTTATAGACAAATTGGTTTTGCACACGGGTAAAATAAGGAACGTGTATAAAAATATGCATAAAATATATGTACAGAAGGAATTTTCCATATATACATGTGTTGGATAATTGATACTCATATCCTATAACTAAGAAGAGATTGAACAATGATCAAGAAGAGTAATGGAGAAGAAGAATGTGTATAGTGTTGAATGAATTGTGAGTTCTATGAGTTATGGTTTACAAGCCTTAACTCATAGTATGAAATCCGGGTCCGGTCTTCTAATATCGGCCCGACAGACCCGATTACATAAATGGACTGATAGTATGAAAAGCTAATCTAGAACATCTGAATAATAATGTACAATAATATGAATCCGCTAAACGTGTGTGGGCCGCTGTCCAGGCCCAATAGTCGGCAGACCGGGGGTCGGAGTTCATATACTCCATCAGGAGTCCCCCACTCACTAAGTTGAGAGTACTCGAGGTGAAAGGGAGTAGTCCAAACTGTAGCTGCAACGTTCTTCTATCTTTGGTTTCTTCCTCTTCGGCCGGGGGACCACCACCCTTGTCCATGATTGGGGAGGTGCCTCGTTTAAAACCTTTACTAAGAAAAAACCCACTGGGAAAAAATCCTAATAAAGGGGAAAAAGAGTACACCTAGCGCCCCCAACATGAAACAAGGAAGGTAGGCCCCCTCCGACATAATCACTTTTGTCTGGCTCAACCCGTCTTCAACCGACTCAGCTCTCATTCCTGCTCATGCGTGATATTTTCTGGTCATCTAGAAACTCTGACCCCTCAGTCCCCCAGTCCCCCACTCCTTGAGGCGAGTGAAGACGAGGTAAAAATCAGTAAAGTCATCTTTATACCTACACATTTAACATACATATAAAAAAAATTTCTTGGGATTTATGTTTCCGATCGGGAGTTCGTCACTTGAAACAAGTGGAGATGTGAATTGTTAATGTAATGATAAAATACTTGGTAGAATGGATGTGTGAGCCATTCGTACGCAACGGTCGCCACTCTTGGAATGACTAAGACCGGTCTTCGTGCTCGACTTGGTCGGGGCTTTGTGCCTGACTTGGTCAGAGCTTTAAATCCTGGTGATGGGTCTCAAAGTCACAGCCTACTAGGCATTTGATCATAATTGTGCGATAGTTTGACATGCGTCCGATAAAAAGGAATGGTTTAAATAAATATAAATATATAGTATGAAAATTAAAGAGTACGTGCTTAGCTTTTGATGGGTTGAATCTGTTTGCAAGAACCACGGCCCACCATTTTTATTGAGGCTCGTTTTGGATTATATGTCGTCCGTTGGCCCACCAATTTTGATCAAAGCTAGGTATTTGCTCCACATATTCTCGGACACCATGAGAGGAGTGAAGTACATCCACGTATGAATTCTTCTAGGCCACATATCACGTGAATTAATTTAGTGGGTCAACTAAAATCCATACACCAACCGACCAAACCCTTCTGGCTTCTGCGAACGAGATCGGCAACAGCCAAAGTTTGAGAGGAGATAGCTCTGCCACTGCCGCTAAAAAGAAATGATTTAAATAAATATAAATAGTATGAAAATTAAAGAGTGCTTAGCTTTTGATGGGCTGAATCTGTTTGCAAGAACCACGGCCCACCATTTTTGGTGAGGCCGGTTTTGGATTATATGTCGTCTGTTGGCCCACCATTTTTTATCAAAGCTAGGTATTTTCTCCCTATATACTCGGCCACCATGAGAGGAGTGAAGTGCATCCACGTATGAATTCTTCTAGGCCACATATCACGTGAATTAATTTAGTGGGTCAACTAAAATCCATACACCAACCGACCAAACCCTTCTGGCTTCTGCGAACGAGATCGGCAACAGCCAAAGTTTGAGAGGAGATAGCTCTGCCACTGCTGCCGGAGGTGTGAAGGGCGAAAGGACATTCTGCCGACCATTTCTACAGTGAGGTCTGGACTATGAGCAAAGCTTCCAGGTAGCCATTAATGGAGGATGTTCGAGCTCCAGCAACCGAAGCAAACGATAAAAGTGGTTTAGGTCCCGACTAATAGAATTAATGAAACGGGATACTGACCGTCGAGGTACAACGGTGAAGGACAGTAGCGGAGCAACCATGAGTAAAGATTGAAGGTGACGGAGCTCGCAGTGGGCTCTCTGGGTCACAGGTTTGCAGCGGGGTGGCGTCAATGTCTGCATCACACTGGCCGGGGGAGATCTACACGATAGTGGCGAGAGCATGAGCAGCGACTGACCAGCCTCGAACCGCCGAAGCCACGACAGCGACGAGATTTGCCGCTATGGCAGGAAGATATGGAGCAACGGTGGCAAACTTCGGCCTGCACACTGGTAGCTACAGTTCCAACTCGGATCCAGATATACCAAGTTCGAGTCAGCAGGGGAGTTCCGATTTGTTGCTCCTGGAGCTCCTAACGACCATTAATGGCGGAGACCTTGAACTAGGGTTAGACTCGGGCCGGGCCGGGTCCTGGTCGGGCCTAGGCCCGGGCGGGCCGGTGGTTCAGGAATGGTGGACCCGGGACTGGCCCGGGTAGCCACCAGGTTCGGTCCGGGTCCGGGCTAGGCTTGGCCTCCGGTTTGGGTATTTTTTTTTTTTTGCTTTCCTAACCCCCCTCACCCCCCACCCTCCCAAACCCCCCCTAAACCCCTCCTAACCATCAACCCCAACCCGGGTGGAACCCTAAAAAATGAAAAAAAAAATCAATTTGGCCCGAACCCGGGCCCGACCCGACCGGTTCGCCAAATGTGAGACCCGAGCCCGGACCCGCACTATCCACCGGGCCTAGGCCCGACCCGGACCCGGACCCGAGAACCGAGCCGGTCCCAGTCCCGCACAATAGCGGGCCGAGTGGCCCGACCCGAGTCCAACTCTACCTTGAACTAGCTCACCCGAATCGAGAGGGCTCTGTTCGACGGCGCTGGGGCGGAGGTGGAGAACAAGCTTTGAGCGATGACCGACAACCTTGCGACGAAGGTAGGAACTGCAAGCGACGGTTGATGGAAACCATAGCTACGGGTTTCTGGTGATGATGGCTACTATCTGGAGAGTAATACGTGAGTTTAGAGTATCGGAAGCGACACCTCCAGCAAGTCCAGAGCTTCGAAATCCAGGACTTCCAGACTTTTCAGACTCTTTTTTTTAGCTTTATAGAACAATTTCTTGGTTGATTGGGGAGGGTTCTCACTTGATTCTGTTCAAACTCTCAACGAGAGCACCATTGTTGGATAATTGATACTCATATCCTATGACTAAGAAGAGATTGAACAATGATCAAGAAGAGTAATGGAGAAGAAGAATGTGTATAATGTTGAATGAATTGTGAGTTCTATGAGTTATGGTTTACAAGCCTTACATAAGGGAGTATATATAGGGAAATCCGGGTCTGGGCTTCTAATATCGGCCCGGCAGACCCGGTTACATAAATGGACTGATAGTATGAAAAGCTAATCTAGAACATCTGAATAATAATGTACAATAATATGAATCCGCTAAACGTGTGTGGGCCGCTGTCCAGGCCCGATAGTCGGCAAACCGGGGGTCGGAGTCCATATACCCCATCAACATGCATTCATTTATAATATATGTGTGTATATACGTAGTATTATGTATGTGTGTGTATTAGTGTATACTACTATAAGATATGATTTGATTCCAAATGCTAAGGTTATTTTATATGACTGTTCCATCTCTGATGATTGCTTTCTCCATCAGAATAGTAATTCCTGATCTAATATAGAATCCTTCATCTGGCCTGTCTGCTTCTTCAACACCCTGTGTACCCAACCACATTATATGTGCACCATGTACATTAATAAACAACAACTTCTGCCCTTTTCATTTAATTCAACTAAAAACACGTTCAAGGAAGATTCTATGTTTTTTACAAAGATAATCAACTCACATCTGTGTTCTTGATGATCACATCCTTCCCTATTCTTACATTCTTGTCAATGATACAGTTGCTACATAACAAGTAAACGAGTATGTTAAAAATCAGCAAAGAGATTATAAGCTCATGTTTTTTTTTGAAAATAAATATAAGGTCGTGTTATGCGAGAGTTATATGATACAAATGGTTGAGTTTTTTTAATGGGAAAAACGTTCTAAAATTGTTTTCAGCCATATAAGTAGGTCATATAATTAACAAGAACAAGTTTAAAATCTGATATTATGACAACCAAACATCTTTTGTATATGATCTGATCTATTTTTGTGTAACTTGATTTGCTTAAATATAGTGAATCTAAATACTTCGGTTTTCTAGTGAAATCATCTGCCCACTTTGTCCCTATATAAACATTGGGTTTTGAATTACACATATATTATGGAAAAAGTTCTATTAACTTCCTCAAATGCTCATTTACCAAGGAGAAAAAGATTTTATTTAGGTTCACAAAAAGAAAGTGGAAAGTATTTAAGGAAGGTGAGAATGGGTGTGTTTGGCATTTAGCGGTTAGCGGATAACGGGTTATATTGGCGGGTTGTAAATAGCAGATTCAGTCAGCAGCTTTGATCGGTGGAATAAGAGCGGGGTTTCAAAAGATGTTTAGTAATTTAGTTATTTAGCCATAAAATTAGTAGAAAATGCCATATTTCAAAACGCTAATTCAAAACTCTCTTATTTGCAGCGTTTCCATTTCAGCGATTCCGTCCAAAAACGCTAGGACCAAACAGCTAATCACCAAACAACTATTCATTTATTGAAAACACTAAAATGATCAAACCATCATTTTTTGGCTGGATTGCCATTTTCCAAACACCCTCAATATAGTGATAAATGATGTAGCTTGGGAGCTTCCTAATCTTGAAAAGTACAACCCTCCAAAAAAGCTTTTATAAAAAAAAGGATGACACCCCATCCCTGAGGGCCCCCAATCTCGACAGGACGGTACGTTGTGAGAAGATGTAAATTGGACTATAATCTCAATCTGACAGATAGAGAGTGGGACTCTGTCCCCGATACTTGCAGAGGCCCTATGCATTTTAGCATAGTGACCCCTCATCGCAGTTGTCAGGATTCGAATCCGAGACCTAACCCTTGTGACACTCCCTTGCTACCCGTTGAGCTACGCCCACCGGTCCAAAAAAGCTTTTATAGTCTTGGAAGTCGTTGCCCTTTCACTCAAGGGAAGGAAGGGAGTGGCACATGGTGGGGGTACACCTTTAATTAGACATTTAATCTTGGGACGTGAAAAGTACACGTATGATGCATACTTTAATTTAAGTTAGGCTCTTACCTTATTTTTGAATTTTGCCCAATCCCAATTGGTACATCTCCATTGCCAAGAAGAAACGCAATCTCAGATTCTGTCTCGTAATAATCTGCCCCCATCATCAGCGACTCCTGATGGGTTAAATATAAAAATTAAATTGAGAAAATTGCTCGCAATATGATTAAGAGATGGTGATTCCTAATAAATGTCTAGTTACTCTTCTGTTTCTGAATTAACTGTGTTAAGTATGTGTGATCCTTATTTTAAGTATTATTTTCTCTCTCTTCAATTCAATGATGACCTGTAAAAATGTATACTTAAATTTACTAGCCATATACTAGTATTAGGAATCTTTGAATGTTTTAGTTAGATGAATTTGCCACTTAAAGGCTAATTTAGTAACATTGAAATTGCCTAAATCGATTTATTATGCTGATTTTTTATTTAAATTTTGGCTGATGTGGCCGATTTATGAAAAAAATTATACATAATTATATGAAAAAAGTTGAAATGGTTCTCTATTGTAACTTAGAACCAATGCGGATGAAAAGTAACTTCAACATTACTTATTTTGATTATTACATAATTAAGTGTGCGAAATCACAAGATACATATTAGTGAAAAAGTTGGCTGATAAGTCAAAAAATATGATCACCAAACGGAATTTAAATTAAAATTATTCAAGTACAAGTCATATGTGACACTAGTTTTAAGGAAAATAAAAGTAGATCATTGATGGTTTACAAGTGTACAATTCTTCTAAAAGGATAAAAATAGTATGAATCCATAAAAAGTAAAATTTAACTACAATAGTAAATAAAAGAATGTAGCTATCTTGGCAGATAAGAAAACAGTATATCTTTCAAAATTGAACGACTCAAGTAATTTTTTGAACAATTAAATTATAATTAATGAAAGATATATAATTCAAGTAGTGTTATGCTATACTTCTCTCATCTCTACCTTGAGGTTAACGCCGTAATCCAAGCAGGACCGCTCACCAACAATGGAGTGTTCCACGACACACTCCCTCAAGAAACAACCGTGGGAGATTATGGCATTCTTAATCTACACCACACCACGCGTTTAAATGTTATTATAGAAATTGCTCTAAATAGGAGCAAAAAAGTTTTGAAATTCCAAAATAGAAGTATCATGTTTTTTATTCCCTGAATAGGAGAAATCTAGTCAAGTTTAGAAAAAAATGTCATGTTTTAAAGCCTAGTAATGTCAAACTTAATTGCAGAAATTTACTCTTATTCAAGGAATAAAAAACATGATAGTCCTATTTTGGAATCTTAAAACTTTTTTACTCCTATTTAGGGAATTCAGTCATGTTATTAAAATTAGTGAAAATTGAGGTCAAAGTTAGCTCCTTTCAATGAGTGAAGAAAATAAGGTCATAATTGGGAATTAAATGTAAATGTGAATTGATTTATAAATAAAAAAATATAGTTCAATCATAAGTACAAGACGAATCAAATGAATAAATAAATGAAGTAAATTTAATTACAATTTAATGTTTGTGCTGGTTTTACCTTGCAACAATCAATTTTGGTTGGTGGTAGCAGTCGTGGAGATGTGTAGAAAGGTGTCCTAGGATCATAAAATTCAAACTGGGGAAACTGCAACATACAAATTGCATCCAAGGAAAAATAAAATTTAATGTTCACAAAAATTATTATTATGAATATATGATATCCTAAGTATAAAAATTCGCACACTGTTTAATTTTGTTCTAGTATATTATCATTATTTCATATTAGTTTGGCCATATAGCAAACTTAACTTTGAGGTCAACTTATTAAAAAAATCTTGCATTACAGAAAGGAGATTTTGAAACAAAACTTGTTTTCAATCACAAAGTGATACTTGAACTGTTGGAGTACTGAGATGCTTAAACATAACACTAAGTCTAGGTTTATTTACATTTTTCTATATATGCATTTTCTAAATATATTCATATGTGACATTTACTTGTTGGATGTTGAAAAGGTAAATAATTTTTCAACACCCAGTAAGTGAATATATGTTACATATGAATGTAACTAGAAAATGTAAGCAAAAAATGTTCTCACCTCTTGTGTGAGGGCCAAGTTTGCTTGGTAGAAAGATTTTAGTGTCCCTGTGTCTTCCCAATAGTCTCTGAAGATGTAAGCCTGTATACATATTTCAACACACATCAATAAATGGTTTTATATCCCACTCACACATGTATAGATTAAGGAAACAAATTATCAAATTTATCTCTTAGGAGGTAAATTCTTTATAATAAAAACGTACATCTAATTTGGATCTGAGTTTGATAAGACTCTTAGGCACATGACGCTCCATTTTATGCTAATCTCTCAATTGAAAAACATATTCTATTATTCTTCCTACAATATCACTAAAACAAAACCCACACGGGTAGCTCAATTGGTAAAGTTTTAAAATTTGTAAAGAGTTTGGACAATGAACAAGGATTAAATCCCCCAACAGACGTGTGGAGGTCACTGCTCCTGTGTGTTGGATTGGACTTCTGGTGTGCACGAGTATAATTAAGGTCCTACCATCGTTAGGATTGGTTGAGTCATCGTGATTTATAACCTCTGATATGCTCTGTCGGATCTAGGCTTGGGGAGCCTTGGGGTTGGGGATTAACCGTTTTGGACAACTAAAACAAAACAAACAACAATATGATTGCATAGTCACTACTATTATGACAATCACTCTGTAAATAATACCATGATTGATCACTGTGTTTTAAAAAGTCACAATATTAAGAATTATTGTTACTATTTCATTAAAAATTATTGAATTACGCAATAATTACAATTAAAGTTAAATAGAGACATGGGGAATGGTGCTTTTTTCCCTACTTGAACATTGTGGTCATGGATAACTGCAGGAATGATTTCTGACCCAAAGTCATTTGCTGTGGGGTATCTCCAGCTTAACAGCTTCATCAGAATATCTCTCTTAAACACATATAATCCCATTGAAGCAATATATGGATTCCTTTTGGCTTCTTCAGGAGACAATCCTATGAGACTGGTGTCCACTTTCTGCCATGAAACATAAGTTATTATGTAATCAGCCACCAGAAAAATGGGTTTTGAAATGGGATTTGTACCTACCATTTCTTTTAAGCTCGCGCCTTCGAGTTTTTCGTTGAACTGGACAACTTTGCCCCTGTGGTCAATTTTCACCAGCCCAAAGTCTGCTGCTTGGCTGATAAAGCCAAATCAATAGCATATGTGACACTAAAGTAGACTGTTTGTTTCCAATGTGACTTTACAAATTAGATCTTTATCTCTTTCTCTATTTCTTTGTTGTATATCCTGTTGGGTAAGACTAAATTCTGGGGGATTTAGGCTATTTTTCTTAATTTTAAAAAGCAAGCTAAAGAAAATATCATCTAGAAATTGAAGGCTAATGTGTTAAAAAATTCAAGCTACCAAACCAGCATTTGATAGAACATGGAAAGTGAAAAGTTATTCTAAAGTTTACAAAAGTATGGAAGAGATACACTTCTTATATAAGCTACTAGAAATACACCATTCAACACACTGCATTATCAATTCTCAGGTAAGTTCCATACCTGTCCCCAACTGGTGCACAAGCAAGGGTAATGTCGGAATTGCAGTCAATGTGTTTCTGTAAAGACAAAGGAAAAGATAAATAGAGAGAGATGTGCATACTATTTAGCCTTTTTGAGGAGTATTGATAATGAAACATGTTACTTTCATAATCTAAAAACAACAAACCTGCACCAAGTCCATATAATCCATCCGGTAAAGTTGATCACCAGGCACAATAAGTATATTATCAATGTCCTTGTTCCTCACATCCTGCATTAATTATTTTCACTCTGAGTCTCAAAATCCTAATAACCAGATTCTCAGAAATCCTACTCTCATTCTTCTTAATAACGGTCGCTCTAGATAAAGGCTTGTTTTCAGATAAGTGTCGCCTTTTTTTAAAATATCTTATATCGAAAACTCAGACACACAATATCACTTAACAAGGCCGACTAGGCCATAAGCCCATAAGGGCATAAGGCACTTGAGCTAAATCACGCTAAGAGATTGAATCACATCTGTTAGTGACTTTAACTTAAAGTTTATTAAGGCATCATTCTCTCTTTAATTTTTTGATTGGGACTCTCAACATCTATCTTACAAGAATTAATGAACTGGATCATAGTCATATTTGAAGTATTTTTTGTCTTAGTTCTATAATCTTTAATGCTTTCTTAATACCCGTGTAGAGAACTTTGAACAGTGGTAATTTAAGAAGGGGAGGCAGAATGTAAGGGAGCACCTCAAATACCCAACTAAATTTCCTGACAGCATCAGCTGGCCCTTGAAACCATTTCATTCCTGCTTCTCCTGATGTCTGAGTTGCTGCTAAAACCTATATAGGCACATTTTGTCAGTCAATAAGTAAACTTTTTAAAGCTGAAATCAGGGGAATTGAGCATAGCTAGAGGTTTGAAACCTCTACAAACCCATCGCCCAAGCTCACACCATTTCCGAAGTAGGTGCGTGCAATGTGACGGTTGAGAGGCGCAGAATTGAATTGGGTCGACACGAAGATCTTGTTGATTCCACTGTTAATGCAATTGCTCATTGGGAAGTCAATCATCCTATAGCATCCTCCAACCGGGACCTATATATTGTTAAGCCATGCTACATCAGAAAGCAGTAAAATTAGAAAGCCAACATGTGAGGCTTTAGACTACCACTTCTATGAGGTTGAACTAATCAAATCTTAAATCTTAATACATATCATGCCCAATAGAAGAATCAGTTCTTTGAACAATCATGAAGAGCAGCATCAAACAAACATCAATTTTTCAACCGCAAGTAAGAAAAGATATGATAAAAAATTAAAAACTATGCATGGACATGAGGGAAACACAGAAAAATCTTACAGCAGCAGCTGCAGTCCTATTTGTAAGCGGGAATAACTGGGTCCCAGCACCCCCTCCCAGTATGAATGCAGCCACACTTTTAGGGTTTGCCGTAGCTCTCTCCATTCCTAGTGCTTCAACACTCTAAATGACAGCACATGATCCAGTAAGATTCATTCAACGGATCACAACGCACCGTATGATCAAGAATGCCTAAATAACTGAGTATTTTAATGTTAAATAAATGTCCAAAACTTCGTGTTTTAAAGTGATAATTGGTGTTGTATTGAATTGGAAAAGAGCCAAACACAGCCATATTGATTTCTACGCATTAAGAAAATGAGAAGCAAACGTGAAATAACTACAGAACGACAACATAGTCAGGGGCGGATCCAGGAAAGTCATCTTGGGGGGCGAAAATATTTTTTGGGGTTCAAAATATATTTTGGGAGGGAGAAAATTATTTTTCATATATATATACACTAAAAAAAATTCTTGTTGGGGGGGGCGGTAGCCCCCCTGGGTCTGTACTACGGTCCGCCCCTGAACATAGTAGCTTTACCATCTTTTATTGTATTGGTTTGCATGCATGACTATGTTTTACTTTGTTGAATTTCAAAATGAACTGTTGTTAATGATAAAAACTAATTTAGTTATCTTATTATTTGAAGGCGAAAATCGCACTTCCTCCATCCCTACTTCCTTAGATAGTTAAGATTTACCAGATTTGACTGAAGTAAAGTTAAATCTCTTAAATTTACATACATAAAAACTAGACTATTGGAATGCTAAACTTGATTTTGAGTAAGGTAAAACATGACTGGTGAATAGTAAATTGACACTCCTTTTAAAGAGGAAGGGAGCAACTTTAAGATGTGGAATACATTAGCATGAAATGAGATCAGTAAACAATTAAAATGGTTAAAAACATACCAGAGTATCATTGCCATTTCCTCTGGAGAGAACAGAGAAAGCAAATCCTGGTTTCATATCCCTATCTGTTCTTTCAATTTTGAATCTTTTAGAGAACTGATTAGCCAAAACATTTTTCTTCATCCCCCCTTTGCTCTTCTTCCACCAAACTTCATTCTCCCTTGCAAATGGGGTTGCAAAATTCAGAGTTGCAGAAAAAGCTTCCATCACACTTTCCCTATTAACGTTTCAGTGAACAAGAATCTACCACTCTAGCTCCAAGGTTATAACTTATAACCGTTATTATAATATCAAGAAAATTAGTGCAAACCTTGGACAATCGACAAACACTATAATAAGCAACCAAGCAAAGTATAATTTAAAACGGAAATGCATAAAGGGTGATATCGAAGCTAGAATATACACAGAAGAGTAAGGTATAAACAGTGAGAAGAAATGAACAAACTTTTCTTGAAAATCATGCCAACACATCAAGTACTAGAGTTGTCTGATGAGAATCGTTTCTAATAAAAGATTAGAGCATACGTAGTATAATTTACCAATTAGTAATTGACATTTTCTTGCAGCTCCAACTCAGAATCAAGAAACAAAAGAAAATTAGAAAATAAATACGAGTAAAAATAATTCACTTTTTTGTTCTTGACTTTAGTTGGAGGTAAGTTTCTCCCGGGAAATTTTGCCTCGATAGGTGGAGGAGCTGGGGAGGAGCATGTGCGGGCAAGCGCCCTGGCTTAGGACAAAAAAAAAGGTAAAGGGTAAGTGAACTAACGTAAAAGTGTTCGATTAGCCCTTTATATAGGAGTTTCTGCCCGATCCTCGCCAATTGGGGCGGTTCCTGGTAAAAAATTTTGATGAAATTTATTGAGCATATTCCTCATTAAGTCTAGTTTACCCATATCAAATGTCAGCTAAAAATTAAATCGGGAAGGCAATAAAATGATTTTCCGAAATGTACTGCGCAGCTTAACTGCGCAGTTATGTTCAAAAAATTATTTGACTACTTTCCCGATTGAATTTTTACCTGAAACTTGGTATGAATAAACTAGACGTAATGAAGAAGATGCTCAAAAAAATTCATCAAAATATTCCACCAGGAACTTTCCCAATTGGCGACGGCCGGGCAGAACCTCCTATATAAGGGGCTAATTGAACACTTTAAGTTAGTTCATGTACCTATTTGACCTTTTAGCCAAAAAAAATTAAGACTACTACTTATAATATATTTAATGCGCTTTCTTCTTTTTTCAAAATCTATATCTATATATTATCTATATATGGAGTATTATACATTTGCAAGTAACATTGGAGTACGACTTTGACAAGTCTTATGCACACAATCATTTGACGCATGTCATTTTCATGTTAATTTGTTTTTTCTTGTTTTAGACATCTTTTATTTAAATTCATAATTTGGTAATGAATTCTTAAATTTATTAAGTAATTAAACTGTACTTAATCACTTTCCAAGCCATTTATGACAATCGTTCCCATTAGGACTGTTTTGGTGTTTCATTTTTTTGATTGATTTTTCCGTTTAATATAATATTCTACTACTTTCGTCTCATTTTATGTCATGTTTTGAGTTTGACACAATTATTAATAAAGTGATTGAAAAGTTAAAAAAATTGTAGTTAAATTTTGAATATAATAAAGTGAAATGTTGTAAACCACATATTTCTTTATAAAAAGAAAATGTGACACTTATTTTGGGACAAATCAAAATGAAAATTAGGACATGTAAAATGAGACAAAGTAACTTATACGAAGTAGTAACTTATACAATAATCACTTAGCTCCTATCACATTTAAGGAAAGCTCTGCCACATGTGACTTCTAAATACGCACGAATTCGATTCAAACGATTCGGTTCAATTTTTTTAGTTCGATATCAATTTTCTAGCGATTCGGTTTATTTTGCTTGCGATTCCAATTTTATCGATTTGATTTTCAGTTTCGGTTTCATTGACCCACCCATATTTCTAGATACATGGTCTCCATCTCTATTTCTATTTAGTTTTATACGAGTAGTATTTAATTCATTTGACCAACCATAAAAGTTTATGTTTGGCCAAAATATTTACCCAATCTACTTTATGGTATAATCTTCGATTCTCTACTAAGCAATATCTAAAAATAAGCAAGTGATTTAACATCTGAGTATTAATGTTGTTTAATATTCCGTATATATTAATATTAAACCTACAATCTGTTGGTAATATTAAACTAGATGGTAATATGATATGATAATATTAATATGCAGACAATTAATATGATAATATTAATATACAGACAATTAAATAATTAATATGGTTTAATATTACCAGAAAAAATCACATATTTAAACCTACGTACTATATATTGATTAAATATACCAATCACCACTCGATCGTGATTATATGATAATATTTGGAAACATTACCATGACCCCGTTTGGTAACTATTTTTCATCTTATCAGCCAACTTTTTCATCAAATGCGTAACTTTTGATTTCACGTGCTAAATTGTGTAATAATAAGAAAATGTAATGTTTAATTTATTTTTCTGACTGTATTGGTTGGAGTTAGTGTAGAAGATCATTTTAACTATTTTCTACATATATATTTTTTTTTATTTTACTAATAAAATATAATATAAATATAATTTTTCATAAATCAACATAAACAACCAATTCAACCACTTCAACCAGAACTTTATAAATTTCATCAGAATCAACCAATTAGCCGTCTTGGCATCACCAAACGGGCTCTATATAATCACCTCTTCAACCCTAATACCAAAGTGATTCAGCATTCAAATATCAACAAGTGATTTAGAATTCGAATATAAAAGAAAATAATAATATTAAACCTATAGACTATTGGTAACATTAAAGGTAGATGGTAATATTGTATGATAATGTTAATATTTTTAGGCTAAAGGGTCAAATAGGCCCCTGAACGTATACAAATTGCTCAATTCGCACCCCGAACCCAAATAACCTCCGATCCAGCCCACCAACCCCCATTTTTTTGTTCAATCCCTACATTTACCCGGTAACCGCCCGTTTTCTCCCCTTAAATGCCCAGTCAACAAGTTTTGGCCCAACTCCCCTTAAACCTACATCTCATTGAATGCTGACTCATTAAATACTCCATCCAACCATATTCGTCCATTAAAACCTGGAGGAAACTGAGTGCGTATCTTCTTCTTCGTAGAAAGTCATGGCGGCTTCATCTTCTTCTTCGCTGGGAAGGAAACTGAGTGCGTATGACCCGAACTGTCTGTGTGGTGTCAAAGCTCGTTTGTGTACAACCCGGGAAAGTGGCCGGCAGTTTTATGGATGTCAAAGATGGAAGGTATGTATTTGTGAATTTGATTTGGTAATACAAATGAAGTAGGGCTTTTATGGGGGGGGCTTCTGGTAGTCTTTATGTTCTTTGTTGAAGCAACATAAATTGGAAAGAGGAATTGGTTTATAGTTTTGTTCTTCGTTTCTTGTATAATACACAAATTGGTTTGTGTGATAATTGTAGGACGGTTTAGGTTGCGGATATTTTGTATGGAAAGAGGATTTAGCAGGTTTGCATGAAGAGAAAGAAGCATACATGGGGGGCCCTGGTTCAAAAGAATGCTCAAATCATGACCTCAAAAGGATGATGTTAGTTATGCAACGTGACATACAAACCATCAAACTGATTCTTGAAAGTGAAGCTAAAGAGAAGTCATTTTGGAAGAGAATGTGTCAAGGGGTTGTGATGTTTGTTGTTGCAGGTCTTATTCTTAAGAAATTGTAATAGATTAGTGGGTTTTGTAGTTTTCAATGTACTTGGACCACTTTAACAATGTAGTAAAAGAATGCAGCTTTGTTAAATGAGAAACAACCATTTGATCACATCTGTCAAACACTATCATTATGATATACACAGAAATAGCCAAAAAATACCCATAAAAACAGATACTCCTAATCCGGACAACCCATGAAATACCCATCACATTTACCCTTTTCCATCAAAAAGTGATAAAACCATGTGCTTGTAAAGCATACCCATCAGTGCCATCACCCATGTGATAAAAGGCAAAGCCCTTGAATAGAAAGGAGCCATAATCTGAAGAAGCAATTGTACAACAAGCAAGTACAATCTAAAGAAGTACTTGGCTGCTTTTAAAAACCAAAGATCACCCCACCCTTTAAGCTGCAGGAACGAATAAAGCCAGACTATAACCCACACCCCACCACAAACCAATAATGCATATCCAAGACCCCACAACTTTATGCAAGACCACACCTTTACAAAGAAGAAAAAATGCATATGTCATAAAAGTGAACCATTAAACTAGTAAACCCAGCAGTACACATCTGAATACATAAGTAGGTTCACCAAACAACCATTACATAGTCAAAACACATAAAGACCATTACTTTAACCACCTAACATAAAGCCCCCAAATCAGCATCCACCAAAGTGCAGTACCTTTACTTTAACCACCCAAAAACCATAAAGACCAAGCTATCATAAATATGCATTACATTTGTTATACACCCCCTACTGAATTCAGTTTCTACCCCCCCCCCCCCCTCCCCTTCCAGCTCTTCCACCCCTTCCTCTTCCAGCTCTTGAAGCCCCGGAAGGTTCACTTGTTCCAGCTCCTACAGCCCGTTGACCTCGTCCAGCTCTTCCACCTCTTCCTCCTCTGCCACCTCTGGAACCCCTACCTCCCCTCACTGATTGATGACTTCCTGGTGCAACTGTTGGACATACATGGCGTTGATGCCCCTTTTGCTTACAAAGGGAACATGTCATCACCCATCCCTTCCTTGACAGCTTGCCTGCTGGAGGCTCAAATTCCTCCCGGACTCTTTTTTTCTTTGGGCGTCCAGTCATTTTTTTTGTGCAGGGGGGTGTATTTTCTCTCCTTGAACGGTAGGCCAAGCCATTTCCCCATTGATTGGTTCCAAAGTGTAGGAATAGGTTTGTTTGAAAGCAGAAATTGAGTAACAGTCATCAATATAACCTTCTGGATCTTTCCCCTGATCAAACATTGCACATATAGCATGCTGGCATGGAATTCCAGTCAACTCCCAAGATCTGCAAGAGCATGTACCTCCCTCCAGCTTCACCTTGTATTGATACTTCCCTCTCTTTACCTCAAACCCATCATCTCCATTGAATACCACCCTCCACTTTGAACTTCGCATTATGTTACCATTCAGAATCTTCTTAATGTTAGGGCAGATTCTTCCTTTCCATTTTGCAGCTAGGTCCCTCTTCTTAGCAATTCTCTGCATCATTTGAATCCTTATGTCTTCTAGCATGGGAATGATGGGTTTGCTCCTACACCCCACCAATGTACGATTAAAAGCCTCTGACATGTTGTTGTCAACTGCATCACATTTCACAGAAGTCCTAATGAAGGCTTTGCACCAGTTTTTGAAAGGATATATTTCCAAATCTTGTTTTGCAGCAGGGTCCTTTTTTGAAGCTCTTGAAGCCACTCCTGAAGTTGTGCCTCACATGTGGACCTAGCACACATCCAGAACAACTGCTTCATGAATTTCCCTCTGTGGTTCTTGCTCCAGTTTGCATGAATGTGTCTTGCACAATTTCTATGTTCATCTTGAGGGAGTAAGCTCTGGATGACATTGGTAAGACCCTGCACACAAGTCATACATTAAGTGCAATACATAAACTGAAATAGTATTAAGTAATCACATTTAGTGTTAAGTAATTCAGTTGAGGGAAGTATTATTATTCAGTGTAGGTAACATACCTTTTGTTGATCACTTATGACTGTCCAGGGGCTGCTATCATCAATTTCCAAATCATGCTTCAACAACTCCAAAAACCATTGCCAGGAAGATGTATTTTCAATCTCAACTATGGCCCATGCAATTGGATACATGTTGTTGTTAGCATCCCTTCCAACAGCTGTAAGGATTTCCCCCTTCAATAGTCCTTTTAAGAAGCAACCATCTAGCCCAATAATCTTTCTGCAGCCCTCTAAAAATCCTCTTTTCATGGCACCAAAGCAGCAATATATCCTTTGGAACAAACAAGGTCCATCATCAACAACTCTGGAGGTCATTATCTTCACTGTAGTGTTAGGGATAGAATCTAGCAACTCTTGAGTGTAGTCTCTAAGCCTAGTAAATTGGTCTTCAAAGCTGGCATGTATTCTCTTCTTAATGCCTCTCACAGCCCTCCTAACCATGCTTACAGCAATGTGAATGCCCAACTCAGTCTCTATGTGCTCTTTTAATGCCACATACCCAATACAAGGGTCATCCCTAACCTTGTCTTCGTATTTATCTTCTATCCATTTTCGACTCACAACTCTCAACTTGAACTTGGGATTGCATTTGTGTGTGGTGATCATGGTTTTCAGTTGGAAGCATTTGAACCTATCTTCCCAGCTGGCATAAAAAGAGAAGGGACAGTTTTCTTGAATGCATTGTGCCCGGACTCTTTTAGATTCATTCCTTTTAAAATAAATGTTTTTCTTGTGGTGCACTGCATACCTGATCATGGCACTCTTAAACTGAATGTTGTCCTCAAAAAGCATTCCCAACTCAATAAAAGGGGGTTCAATTTCTGGATTGTATGAAGGATGATAATCATTGAGGTTGGATTGCACTTCATCTTCATTGATAGCATTGGTATCTGATGTATAACTGGGAGGATTATCAGAAGGATACATCTCCATGCTATCTTCATACTCAGCATCCTCAGCTTCAAAGTTTGCATTGTTCTGCTCCCTACTATCCAAAACATCCTCATTCTCAGATTGTGAACCCATCTCAAGTAGCTCAACATTGTCCTCAACAGCAGAATCAGTTTGGGTCCCCAAATCTTCATCATCATCAGGTATGTCTTCACAGTTTTGAACCCCTCCTCCACTACATGTTGTGGAGGGTTGCAGCAAATACAGTTCACACACTCCATCAGTAGCACACAGACTAACCAACTCCAATGTGGAAGCATCATCTACTAAGTCCCTTAAAGATTCCAAAGGTTCACGAGGCAATTTATACATCAACTTCCCAAAGCCCCCAAATGGTCCAGATTCTATGAACTTTTTTAGATGTGGATAACTTACTACATCAGGGTCACTCTTAATTATCTCTATGCGGCCATTACTATATTCCATAGGAGAGGAGGTTTTAAGGGTGCCACCATAGTTCAAAATTAAGTCTAATGTCTCCCACATTCTGAAACAAAAAAACAATAAATGACTCAGCAAAACAGTACGAAAGATGAAGGACATGAAATGTCTTAGCACATTATACACATAAACACACTTCGCTATGCTACGACATATACGGCTTCAAAACTATTACAGACACAAAACTACAACAGGAGTAAAATCGAATAACCTGAGTGACTTCGTTGACCTTAACGGCTTCAAGGGTTATTTCGTTCTTCCTTTTCGCGCTCAAGACTTCGTTCTTCCTCTTCGCGCTCAAGACTTCGTTCTTCCTCTTCGCGCTCAAGACTTCGGTCACTTAACTTAGCCTTCTGCAATTTTACGTTTTCAAATTAGGGCTATTTCGTGTAGGATAATTGTTTTACACGTAGACAACTTGGGGTTGGGGTTATTAATGAGTCAGCATTAAATAGAAATAAAAACTTGCTGACTGGGCATTTAAGGGGAGAAAACGGGCGGTTACCGGGTAAATGTAGGGATTGAACAAAAAATGGGGGTTGGTGGGCCGGATCGGAGGTTATTTGGGTTCGGGGTGCGAATTGAGCAATTTGTATACGTTCAGGGGCCTATTTGACCCTTTAGCCATATTTTTATTATACAGACTACTAATATGGTTTAATATTAAACCTACTACTATTGAAAATATTAAAGATATATGGTAATATTATGTGGCAATATTAATATGCATATACCGATTTAACCAAAGCTATAACTCTGCATATTTATTTTAGTATTACCATTATTCGATTCTTTCAGTATAAACTTATTATAATCGACTGCATTATTCCCACAAGTCAATTGTCATCTTCTATAATTCATGTCCCCTTGAGAAATGGCTTCTTATACTAAATTCCATTTCAGCTCTTTCACTTTAAAAGACAATTGAAATTAAAATAATAGGTATTATTAAGGCAATGTTAGTTCATGAGATGTTCATTCCTGAGATGGATTCATCTAGACCAAATAATAATGCCTTATTACATATGAGGTCTAATCGATCACTCTCCATTTTTGATTCTTTAAATTGGAGGATTGGTACCAATTGGGAGTTAGTTTTAAATTCAACGATTCAATAATGTTTCTTAGCTAAACAAAAGGTGTATGTAGTAATTTTCAATTAGAATATGAAGTATATTATTCCGTACAACTAATGTTGTCCGTTCCTAAAGACATTTCCAATGTTACAATGTGCATAATGCATATACTCTGTATATGACATGAGAGAGATAAACACAAAAGAATAAATTGATGATATTTCTATCTCATTATACTCTTTCCACGATATTAGGTGTTTTTTTATAAATTTTTCTCAATAATATCAACCACAATATCTACGTTTCAATAATGTACTTGGTATTGTGAAGAATTTTTTTTACCAAAAACAAGTAAAACTTTCAAATAAGAAGAAATATATTATACTTTTTGATTTTTATGCGTCTATATTTCTCATGTTACATATGCACCGTTCACATTTTTTGGATTTTATATGCTTAAATACTCTATATCTCTGGAATGAATAATTTATATTTCAGTAATAAAACAAAATAATCTAAATCAAAATTTAAATCATTTTAATTCAAATTTTCCATTAATTTTCATACATTATATCCGTGCGTGGCATAAGTAAGTAGCTAGGATACTAGTTATATACCAATTCAGGATAATTTAGATTAACAGTTAAAATGAAAGGCAAAATCTTTCAGGAAACATACGTGTCTCTGGGAATAGAAGTATTGGCTGCAGCATACCACATTCATTTGAATGAAAGTGAGGTTTGTTTGAGACCTTTATTGACAGATGAGATGACTTTTCGTGGTTATAGTAAGCACGAAAGTATATAGTTTGACAAATATGTTGTCACATTTCTTGCAACAAAAAGGTCAAAAGATTCTCGAGACTATGTTGAATTCCCTCCTCAGTGGAGAAATTTATTAGAATTTTAGAATTCTCAGAGATGTCCAAGATTCTCTGAATGTGTGTAAAGAAGTATTGAATTTTCTAGAATAATAATGTGGAGTTTTCTAGTGAAGTGTGGAAGTGCGTGGAAGCCTCCAGAACATTTTAAAGAATTATGGCGTTCTGTAAATCCTTCTAGAAGATTAGAGAAGTTTGTGGATACTTTTTGGAAGAATCTAGATGTGTAATGGTGTATGAAAAATTATAGAGGAACTTTGGCGAGATTCATATAGAAAAGTTTCTCGTTTCTATGTTAACCTTGAAGAGAGCTCTTGAGTGAGGGAAAGTGAGAGTCCCCTTGAGAGAGGAGAGTGAGAGCCTTCTTGTGACAAAAGAAGGTTCAAAGATATCATTTGATGAAGTGTATGTGATCGAGTTAGGTAGAGTGAAGTAGCCTCAGATACAAAGAGTGAGTGAGGGTAATACAAAATGATATTGTGAGATTTAGTCGTTGTATTATGAGTGTGTGGATATATAAGTGTACCAGAGTCTACGAGCTCGGGATCCTAGAAAAGATTATTGGGGGTCATGTTTTACCAACATGAAGTTATTATACAACATTTTGAACAAATTAAAACTCATATGATTGATCTACTCACATTATAGGTATGAGTCGAGCAGTATGTAATGAACTAATTTGTGCTAACGTATTACACTTTTATTATTTTTATTATATTTTGAGCAAATATATTATAATTCTTAGTGATATTCATGTAATTTCCGATTGTATGTTTGTATTTTTAACTAGTTTTTATTAGTTCTAGTTGAGGAAATTACACACTTTTGATGTAATACTTTATTTTCATATTTATTTGTAATTTGTTGGGAGAAAGATTCTAATAGGACTAAAACATAACCTTTGAACTTAAATAGGACCAACTACTTTTTTAAACCTAAATAGGACTAAAGTTGATTCTAAGGGACAAAAATACCCCTGCATTCATACGGAGTATTATTCGTGGGCTGAGGCAATGAACTCTCTACAGCTCCGTAGTAAACGACAGTCCCCGACTCCTTGAATACCTAACTTCCAGCTCCTGCCGCTCCCAACTCTTCGTGAAAAGCAAATTAAGATCCGAGAACTCAGATCAACTCTGTAAGGAGGAATAATGCCGACGATGAAAGAGAAGATCGGCGGCAAGAAGGAGATGCAGGGCACCGCCGGAGATGGTGTCACAGATCAGATCTATCTTCTTCTTTTTCTTCTCTTTTCTCCTCCTCCTCTCCTTCTTCTCTTTTCTTCCTTTCTCCGTCACTGGCTCGCTGCTCATTTTTCACTTTCTTCATATCCGATTTCTTCCGTCACTTTCTTTTTGGCTTTGTTTTTCCGTATGATTCCTTCAGGTTTTGTTTTTTTAATATTTCAAAATTGAACCGTAAGTGTTTTTTTTGTTACATACGATAAGTGCTTTGTTTTGTTTAATGTTTATGTTATTGCCTTTTTATTCCTCGATTAAGTTCAATCGTTTATCCTTATAATGTTGCCCTATTGATGCAAAATCTACATGTAGGGAGCTTGTCACTATCATTATTATTATTATCATATTCTATAAAAACAATGTAATTGTTATATTATTGTCATTGTTTTTAACTCTGATCATTTTTATAACATTGCGTTGTTATGACAGTCATTGGCTCATGGATTTCGACATTGACAATGTTATTAATAAAATGTCATTGTTGGTTGCATTGTCATTGTCATATTATAATGTCATTTTTATAGCATTAACAGTTTCACTATTTGACATTATGATAATTTTATAACATTCTGAGAGTTTCT